CTCCGGGCGGGCGTATACCGGGCGCCAGCGCAGACGCGCAAAGCATCACGACGAACGCCTCAACGGTCGCACCCCGGTGGTGTGCGCGGCTCCAACCACTCTCCGACGGCTCGGGACTTGGCCAAGGATCCAATTGCACCCCCATGAAAATGGCATTGGTAATGATCACCTCAGTCGAGCGGTGATGGAGCGGAACCCAAATGAATCCAAATGGAACGAAGACGTGCGACATGACCACGGCATGACCCCTGAGCAGGGTGGGAAGAGTTGTGAGGTCTTGGGTTGGGAGTCTTAGAAGGTGGAGGGTCGACCATACGGACTTACTCATTATCCAGCAGCCGTTCTGCCCCGGTTGTGTCGTCTTGGGTTCGTGAAAACATACTTTTGACACTCAAGCAACTTGTAGGTGTGAGCGATACAAGCAGGTCTTGATTCGCCCCACCCTTCATTATTGACATGTGAAAATGACATCCGCATCGGAGGTAGCATCTCTAATACTCCCTTGGGTCCAAAAGCCGCGGCATTTGTTTCCACCCCAAAAACGGTCCTCCAAACCGGCTTTTGGGGTGAAGTAATCCCCTGTAGAGAGACCCACATGGAACCCCAAAACCATGCCCGGTTTCTGGAGGAAAATTGCCGTCCACCGATCAATTCTCCTTCTTACTACAAGCTTCTTGCCACTCATAGCGATGGCCTCCAACCTACTTGTGATGGCCTGCAACCCAAATAGCATCCGAACGCGTAGCTGGGGGGCCTCTTCATCGGCTCGGAACACGACCAAAACACCGGTGCCGGGGGAAGCCTGTTGTGCCGGTTAGACCACCGGAAAAGGCCGGATCTGAGATCTGAGGCAGTTGTAAGGCGGTTTTCAGTTCGGGCTTCAGTTCTCATCTGATTTTCGGGACAGTCGTTCACCTCCCAGTGACCAGTAGTCCAAAAGAATGGTTTATCCAAAGCTTGCTTGAATCTTACAGAATCCCGAAGGATGCAATCTCAAATCTGGCTCCCCCCTACTAGTATACTCTATAGCAAGAAGCTCCTAGGTGGAGGCCATCGCTACTAGCAACGATAAAGCTCTTTTTGCATGTAAAAAAAGTGCTGATTCCACGAGCCACGCTGTTTTGCAAGTAAAACTTCTGGATCTGATTTTTCGCATGCCGTTAGCAAGCTGTGTGCCCTTCCTGAAAACCCAACCGCAACCCAAAAACAACACCAAGACCCTACTATAGACTTCCCAGACCCTCAAAAATCATGGTTGACCTGGTTTTGTAGCTAGCAGTACACCAAAACCAGGCACGATCTTGGATTCTGGTGGCTTACCAGCTAGCTTCAATGCCCCCTTCTCCAGGCCAGGCAGAACCGGCACACATCAACCTGCAGTGTTCTTCCTTTCAAGGCACTCCACCAAAGAACACGTTGAAGAAAAGGGAATTGGCCATACGATCCTCGACCGCCGGTTTGGCCGAAGAAGACGGTGACGACCGGAGAAAGCATCGGATCATCCACGCTGCGGAAATCCTTCGACTCGATACGTCTATACCGGCGGCGCCAGGCCAAATGTAGACTCTTGGTTGATAAACCAACCCCCCAAAGTGGAAAATCCTCTTCATATGGGGGGGGTGATTAATCAAGAGTCTACATTAATGACACAAACAGATCCAAAATTCCAAGAGGACCAAGATATGGTATGATAGATGGTATAGACTCATAGACGTTGAGTGACCATCATCTTGGAAATTGACAGGAACTTTTGTTCGAAGAGTTTCGAGCATGAGTGCGAACCGTCAACCTTGGAATTATCTGTATATATTACTGACTATCAGACTATCAACCTCAACATATACCTTAACGAAAGCTGCTCAAACATCCGGTCCCAGCCTTTAAACACCAAAGAGCCATACAAGAAGAATTATAGGGCCTTGGATCGATCGACTCGGAGCCGTCATGATGCTAATACCCCCCTGAAGAACCTGCAGCTCAGCCGGCCTCCTGAACAATACCTCTACCCAAAAGCCTTGTGACGGGTTTTTCATTAGAACCTCCATTGTACCCAGACGCTCCATGTATGCCATATATGCCGATCAGTTGGGGTGGTTTGGGGGGTCAATGTAAGCATATCTTTTTTGACAGACATGGAGTGTCTGGGGTACATCATTGCACATCCCTGAGGCCCAACGGCCTACCCACGGCTTGGGTCAAAACGAAGCCGCCCAAACTGGCGAAAGCACGTCCGAGGCACACAGAACTGGCTCACGGGAGAACACATTTGACCAAACCATGTGCCAGCTGAGGAGGCGTCCTGGAAGACATAGGACCAGGTCGGGAGACGTGGCTTTTGGGAAAACCTTTGGACCCACCCACACCACTCAACCATCAATTCAGAAAGGTTGACCTGGAATTTTGCAATTAGTTTATAGAACCCTTATAGTAATACAATGATTGCTTGGCTGGGCAAACACCTTCGAATCAATGGTGGGCCAGGAAGGTTCTCATAGGTTCTCCATTTTGCAGTGCCGGATATTGCCTGGGTCATGTTCTTCTAGGTTGTCGGATACCACCCTAAGAAAATGTGCCTGCATTATTGGGGTGGTAAGTTTCGGGGGTAAAGAACTATATGGTCCAATGCGCGAGAAATGCGGCAGTCCTCACAGCTGCCTTCCATTCAACCAGCAAACGAAAAAGGTAAAGCGGCTTTGTGTAGACTGATCTGATCGTCCAAAGATACCATAAATAAGGCAATGATTGATAGGCCAACAAGATTTGTCGAAGGGATTTTAGCAGTATCAAAGAACCAGCCCCTTCATGGTCTTCGAACCAACCTTCACTGACATCCTCTCACAAGCTCAGTTCAATCCCAAACCCTGCTACACCTTCCGGCTATTTGTCTTTCAGCCCTTTTCTCCTTAGGTCCTTTGTAACATTGTACATCTTGGTTCACTGTCGGGAGCTCGCTTTGCTTAAGAAGGAAGAGTTCTCTCACATTGCATCAAACCAGGGGGACCAAAACAACAATAACTTCTACGAAACTGCTTGGATCCAAGTGGGGGACCCAACACCTGCGGAGGGAGAAAACCAAGAAACAAACAAAAACATGTTCGCACGCCCCCTGCCCCATTTTCCGGCTCGCAATTCTTGAGAGAGGGCTGGCTCCTTATCCAAGGACACCATCTTCTTGAAGCGCTTAACCTTATCCCCCATCACCTGCAGCTGTGGTCTGTGGCACGACGCTGTCGACGCCGTGGCGGCACCGCCAGATCGAAACCGAGATGACCACGGTTTCAAGGAACAGCATAGACTACCCGACATGGTCAACCGGTTCCGTGGGGTTTTCGTTCCGGGCGAGAAACGGCCATGGACAAACAGAAGCTTGGTCCAGTGAGTGGGCCTTTCACTCCGCGAGTGGTGACTGAACCTTCACTCAGGACACCGAGGAGTAACCTCTCAGGACACGGAGGGGTGACCGGCACCTGGTGAACCATCGAAGAAACAAGGAGGGTGAGGTCGGGTCCGGGTGTGAATGATCCAGGCTGGATGATGTCAAGGGATCCAGTCGTACCGAACCTCAGGTACGGTGATTGGAGACACTCCTATGTGGGTTTTGAGGGTCCAGTCGTACCTTCTGAAGGTACGACTGGACCCCTAGGGATCGTCAAGGTCTAGGGACTGGACATGCTCTGTCGGCCTTGGCAACGAAAGGCACGCACCCTCCAGACCGCGCCCGGCTTGGCCCCACCGGTCCGGTGGTTTTCGGACGCATTTTGCCGTACGGACCATGGGTTTCTTAAGCATGAAGCAGGCACAGTGAATCATCATGAATCAGCCTGGAGTCGACCCGGAACTCGTACCTCGGGTTCAATGGGTACAGTCGTACCTGTTTCTTATGGGGTCATGTGGGTTCCCATGTCCCATGTCATGTGGGTTCACTGGCTCAGTCGGGTCCAGGAGGTCATTGGTCCAATCTCGCCAAGCAAGATGTGTTGTTTGTTCTCCAATGTCCCAACATGTGTGTTGTTGATTTCTCTGACGAGGCGTTGGTGGACACCCAAACCTGCTAGAGGCATTTGGGCAGCCTTTATCCGCATCTCTTAGTACTCAAAATCAATCGTCACCACATCTCGAAAAGCATCCCCAAAGCATGGCGTGAAAAGGAACATAGCGCGACTTGCGAAGCCGTCCAAGCCACAGCTCGTGAGCAGTGGAATGAAAAGGATTGAAAAGGAACATAGCAAGTGAACGGGTGATTCTTTACTGACCTGTCGCTGGCACGATGCTGTCGAAGTCGATTCTACTCGTTCTCGAGGACTCCAAAAACCGTCCTGGTTTTGACTCGTTCCAGCCGACCCTCCGCTGGATAGTTCTCCGGTTCCCCAACACGAACTGGGGGTACCAGGGGCCCCACAAACCATCAAAACCTGGTGGTCTCTATAGCAACAATGCACTTGCTTTTTGTTGTATGTGACAACCTTCTTTGCTTGTCAATAGGTTTTAGCGCCGCTGATAAACCCCGAGATTCTGCCACACTTCTACTCCATGAACCGAACTCTCATCAGCCTTCGCCGACTGGTAACGATGCTCCTGCAGGGCGTCGGCGGGACCCGGGACCCTCGCGGGCCCTGGACGGTGGTGCCACTCATCCGTTCGGGAAAATCCCTACACCCTGGACCCTGAAATCGTCAGTGGAAGTGGATATCGCACCTGTTTGGTATGAGCATTGGTGCGTCAGTCACCCTGAAACCATGTCAAGGACTAGCATCACCGTCCGAAACGGAAGGATCGGACCCAACACCGAAACGCAGGGGGTCGGGATCCGAACCTTACCGATTCCTGGGAGAGCAAGCTGCAAGCTGCTGCAAGCCCAAAGGTCCACAGCCCACCCGCAACACACTGATCAGAAGATTTCATAGCCTTGCTTACAATTGCAACCAACACCTGATCCCATACCTAACGGCCCATACCAGTCTTAACATGTCGTAAAAATCTCTCTTACATCGAAACACGGCCTCTCAGCTCTCTCTCGAACTCGCTCTCCTGCGTGGTGGCCCGGTTCAGCTTCTTCCCTCGCGCCACCGTCGTTTCCGGCGCCGGCGTGGTTCCCGTCGCGGGGGCACTGCGTCGGTCGCGGGAGTTGTTGGAGGCCACGTGCGTCACCGGCGGCGCCAACACGCTGCCACCGACGGGCTCCTAGCGGCGCACGGGAGCTCGGAAGAGCTGGTGCTCGGAAGAGCTGGTGCTCGGACTGGGCGGAACGGGAGCTCATTCAATGAGATCAAAATGATACGACTCCAAGGAGGTCAAGAAACATGAAAAGACCCGATTTGGACCTCGAAGGGTCCAAAGACCTTCTGACAAGGTATGTGCACGTGGATCCATAGGGAACCTACACCATACCCCAAGAGAGTGGCACGATCTGGATCAAGTCATCAAGTCTGCTGAATATATCGAGTGCCCGGTCGGAACATGCGTGGCCTAGATGACATGCGGTCTTGCGCAACACCGTTCACCTCACCTGCGTTCACCTCACCAAACCTCAAGCAGAAACCCTTCGGAAGCGCCAAAGATCCTTCCAACATAGGTTGAAGAAACCTATATACTATAGACTATCGCATAGGGGTACCCCAGTAGGCGTCCTATAAGGTCACTTAACCTCTTTGGTTTACAGAACTAAGCGGCTGGGACTGGGGAGTTACATTCATGAACTTCTGGTTGGGACTGGGTTTCCAGGCTGCTTGACTCCCCAGATTTGTTTCACATGGATCCTGAATGGACGAATTAGCAGCACAGGGTCAACCCATCCCATGGTTTGGAGGTCATGGTATTGACCCACATCCCATGTCCAGTCCAGTCATTCATTGGAACCTCCCAGATCCTCCCAGTATTGATTTGGTTCTTTGAGCATTTCGACCCCTCTTCTGTAAGGCCAGACACAGCAAGCCTTGCCGCTCTTGACGGGGAAGCTAAGAAAAGTCAGAAGTTTTATTCTCTATATAATCGATACAATTCCAACCAAGGACAGCGAGCAAGCACCTTGCCAAAAGGACGTCTTGATTGAGCACGAGCGTCCAAATAAAAGGCCTTAGGGATCCTGGCATTAGGCTCCCCCACACCCCACAACAACATCTTTGGGTGGTCGACATTTACTTTGGAGCTCTGATTCAGCAAAAAATACAGTAATCCTAACCAACCTGATTCCCTCCCCACTTTCTGGGCAGCCCTGGCCAGAGGCGACGCTGGCGACATGGGCGAGCTGGGCACCAAAGGCTTGATGTCGGCGCTGTAGCCACGCTCGTTCACCTGCGGTGGACGACGGTCTCCAGTGGGCGGAGGTGAGGTGAAACCGGCGCGACTGCAACCAGCAGCCTCTGAGCCTTCGTATGTCCATAGAGGTCGGGTTAGGTTCCACCCGGAGCAAGGTAGTAGTAATACCTTGGACCTTGCGGGTGTCCTATGAAACTGGTTATATAGTGCTGTGGCTATGGTGAACCGGGACCAACATACCAAGAACATCCCCAAAAGCTGTGAGCATCTTCCAACTAACTGCTGCAATGATTGGCAATGATTTCCAAGGGGCCTGTTCTTCAAGGCCCAGTTGGAAGGGGCCTTCGTTTTGACACGTACCGCCATAACCCGACATTTCAACGCCCAGTGTCATGGTGAAAGCACTCCTTGGAGTTGCTGTTCAAAATGCAACTGTTTGACTTTGCCAGTGCCAAAGACATAGTATCTCATCAAAAACCGGTAACAAAAACACGATTCGCCACCCGGGGATTCGCCCCGTTCGGGCACAATAAACTAAAAACAAGTCCCACATGCTACGTCTGTACATTGCAGAGGGCCTCGCTCGACCGAGATGCTCCACCTTCCCATCCCGACCTCATAGAGGAACGACGAGGATTTGGGCCGCGCGCTGTTCAGGAAGCCGCTGCTTCCTCACGACCGACCAGCAGAATCCAACGACCGCGCTGGGTCGGAATCCCACTGGCAGCTTTGGGCGATCAAACGGTTGATTTCTTCGTTTTTGTCAGGGTTGGTGAGTTCTGGTGGGTTCTGGTTGCAATAGGTCCAGGCCCGAACCCAAGAGAATGAGGATGTCTTCTCTAGATCCCAGTGCCATTTGAAGCATCCAATAATCCAATACTCTTTTGCGTGCTTCTGGATTCGTGCGACTCAGTTCGTGTGACTCAAATCCAAGTCGAGGGCTCGTTCATGCTTTCGCCCCCTGGACGTCCCCTCCCCCCGATTGACGAACCAGGCCTGACCGAAGCTATGAGAACTGCATGACGAACATATCGAAGTGAAAGTGGGTAGTTCCAAAGACCAAACAGGTGGTGAATTCCACGAAACCATGCGATGTGGTCGGAGGCTACTGGTTTGAACACGGAAAAATGGTGACCTGCCTGGATTTTCTTTGAGGCAGAAGACCAGAAATCATCTCGATTGAGTGGGTGGTTGACAGACTCCGCTGACCATGTCTTCACCCTCAAAGAAAACAGTCCCAACCAGAAACAGTCTGGTTGTTCCAATATGGCAATGGAGATCCTTTACAATAAACTTTACATAGGAGTGGCCGAGACTGGGGAAACAACCAGAACTGACTGGGTTCCAGGGCCTTCCAAGAACGGTGGTGCCAGCAACCTGCCCAAGCTTTCAGATCTTGCCGCGCCTGTGGTGTGGCTGCCCTGGACAGCAAAAAGCGGGCGTCCACATGTGGTTGAAAATAAATATGGGGTGACGTATGATTTTGGGGGGCCAGGGTTCATCTCAGGCTCCTCCGACTGCTTGCAAGCTCTTGGCAAATTTGGGCGTGGTTGAAAACGGGAAAGAGGAATCTGGCTTCGAGTCTCGAGTGGGGTCGTGACTTGCTTCATTTTCCAAATAAAGGCAGGCGTCAGACCCGACACCTTCGCCCCTTGCGAAGGACCCGAACCCAAACCCTGCATTTTTGAGGGCTTGGGTTCTTAGGGTAGAGAAAGCTTGCCTGTATTGGAGTGCTAAGTTTGGGAGGTCATATAGAATTTTACTTTGTAGGTTGGTTGCTAGTAGGGTGGAGGCCATCGCTATTAGCTTCGAGGTCATAATCTGGGTTTGTCAGTCATTCTTCCACTTTCAATTGCACATCCTTGATGCTTGATGCTCACTCACTTCTTTGCCTCACCCCACCGGAGTGACTCCGCGACGGAGCCCAACCCACCACAGTTTGCCTCTTCAAAAGCACAGAGAGTTTGTTCGCATGACCACAGAGTCAGCTTGGCGCCTCAAAGACATGGCAATGAGTCAGCTTGAATTCCAGCCGGTGAAGCCAGGAATCGAGGTGCCCCAACCTCAGTGCGATCAGTCGACCGGGCACTCTGCAAGCTTCAACGCAAAGGTTAGAATTTGTAGAGGCTTTTCCGGCTTCCAGGCCAAGCAATAGCCATCAATAGCTGCCTGTTCCTCCCGAACCAGCTCCTGAATGAACTTGATATATATATATATATGTTCAAGCCAGGTCTTTTCTATTTTTAACATCCTCAGAAGGTGTTCGCGGGCTTCTTCTGACCCAACTCAGAGTCGGGAGTGGAGGGTCTGCATGGAGCCCAGCACGTGGAGAAGCTTCAGGCTAGCTTGGAGAGCTTGGAGAGCTTAGGAGTTAAGAGGACCTCATGAAGTGTGGGATCACAAGAACCTCGTGGGACCCAGGCTTCTTAGCTTAGGACCTCTTAGGAGAGCTTAGGAGTTAAGTGTGAGCACAGCAGCCTGGGACCATAGTCGTCCTGGTCCCAACCAATCCCGGAGCAGTCGGACACAGTTGGACATAGACTCTTCACCGAGGCTTCTGTTTCAGAAAGACCCATGGAGAAAGACTCTGAAAGGGGCCGGCGGCCGGGCTAAACCCTCAAGTTGAAGCCACTGGTGACGGCAAGCCACATCTCTTCATGCAGCATCGACCACCTCTACTGTACATCCGGCCTATGGTCCAAATTGACTGCACTGGACCATCATGGACCCAACGAGGACTGCACTGCCACATCTCCGCGATCCGCTCGACGAAGCGAGTCTCGCCCCGTGTCGCACCGTGTCAGGTTAGGAATTCGACGAATCTGATTTCTACACCAAAGCCCACTATTTCACTAGAGTTCACTTAGAGTTCACTCTTCAGAGCATCTTCACTATTTTGACACTATAGTTAGAGTATTTTTTGGTTCCTGCTCTTCGGGCTCTTCGGGGTGTCTTCTCAGCTCTCCCAGCCTGAGCATGCGCTGGGAGTCTTTCACAGAATCGGGCCCCCTGTGCACCGAATCGTTTCCCGAGTTCCAGCCGCTTCCAACGTAAAAGATCTCAAGCTGCCGCCAGATGGGTGTGTATTTGAATGAGATCCTGTGGCCCTGGCTGGGTAGACCCCTCTCTTTTCCTTTCCAGGGAACTGGGAGGTCTCTCTATTCTAATACACACCCGTATTGGAACAACTATCTGTTTTTATACCAATATTGGAACCACGATATATTTCTGCTTGGGACTGGTTGCGGATGAATCGATCAAATCCCACATCTGGATGTTGAGTACTTGATCCCGCATCCACAGATCCGCGATCCATCCCTTCGTCAGGAAGCCATTCGACATGTTGTCGTTGTAGGACCTGCGAACCGACATGCGAAGAACAAACATCTCCAACCCGGGCTGAACACCATTGACCCTGGGAGTAGACTATGAAAAGAATGGTTTTTAATGTGACCTGATAAGACGTTTCCTTGATACTTCAGTCGGTCCAAATACAGTCTTTGCACTTCTTCTAGGGTTGATGTAAAAGGTGGACGCCCCGTGGCAATCGTGGATGGTGAAGGCTTCTGCAGTGTCCTGATTGAATATAGTCCTGATATCGAGTGACATGTCCCGATACTCTTTGGGGCTGGAATTTGGAGTGGGGAGCTACATGGCTTATAAATAAACGCATGCAAAACCTCGTCTCCTCTTCCAAAAATATCCAGGATCCGGACTCGGAGGATGGAGTGGCCTGAATGATCATGCTTTAACAAAAGTTAACGCTCTATCTCTTTCAACAGGCTTCTGATCATTGTCCAAAGTGAATGAGGGTCCATCCAAAGCGCAGTTTTGGGGGAATATGCTGCAACAGCGTCCAGGATCTGGGATTCCAACAACTAGTCGGCCAGTCGATCGAAGTGATCCTGTACTAGTATAGTATCCAG